GTAAAAAGGGGTACAAAGTTTTTGCTTCACGTATTAATATATGATGCCGGTAATTAAAATTAATTGAATAGTAATACAATTCGCAATCGCATCGCTGGTTTATAGTACACCGCAACATACCTACTGCATCTTTTTCTTTTCAGGATTTCTCTATATAAATCGGTTGTTGGAAAGAGATCGCTTTTAGCAATAAGATAGCCTGTTGTTCAAATATATCGGCTTGTTGACTGTTTTTTAATGTTAATCGTGTTTTGGTCTGCAATAAAGTATGTTCTCTCTCTCGCTTGACATTCAACCCATTTTACTTCTATCTTCTGTCTTTCAGCCCACTGACGTCCGCTACTGGACTGGATAGGCCTCTCCCAAGCCTCGCCACAACGATCGGTCCTGTGTTACCTGCATCCAGCGGATGCCCTCAAACCGCAATATATCGTCGGCCCACCACGTGTGTGCATTACCTACCCTGCGTTTTCCGGTACGCTATCGCCACCCGAGTACTTTTCAGCCCATTTTACTTACCCACTGAATAACTGTATGATATTATTTAAACGGAGACAAAAAACATACAATTCCAAAAACAAATATCATACATCTATACATTAATACGTGAAGCAAAAACTTTGTGGCCCTTTTTACGAAAATTGCGCTGACGGAGGAGTACGAAATTTCCCACATTTATAGAAAATATAGAGAAGGAGTTCAGTTTTTTTTTAATTATGCATTAATAATACATAAAATCAATAAAAAAACCACTACAAACACCATGTATTTGACACACACACATAATAATATATTATTAAATATACTCTTTGTTTATTGTCTAACTTTTGTTATTTGTTAAAGTCTGTGGTCAAATTGAGGATAGGTTAATATTGTTTATCTTTAATATTATTTGTCTATAGTGTGGTCTTGGCGAAATCTGTGATTATAGAAGTATAATAAATAGTCTTTGACAATAGAACCGTATTAATGTTCAAACTTATAATTTCAATTAATTATAGTCGAATTCCGACTACTGCGGGACCATTAGTACATAGTTAAAACATAATATAATTAGTGCATAAACTCTTAGTAAGAACCCGTTAGATAATAATGTACGTAACGCAAATAAACGGGAAAGTTTAATACAATTCGTAACACACGATTCAATTAAGTCTTTGCAGGAATCCTAACGTCTGTTTTAACTACATTTAAATGTTTATTTACTAACAGTTTGAAACTTAATAGACAAGGTGCAATATAATTTGCCGGATTACGCTTTTGCGGTTAGAAATTCCGCATGAATACGGATAGGCATGCCTATATTAACGGTCCGACCTACTTCCCGCATGTTCTATGTTAATCTGGTAATCCCTTGAAGTCACTACTCATTATAAATCACATTGCATGTAATTAGTTGACAGAAATCAATGACGCGTTGTGAATCCGTACTAGTTTTTGGAACGAAGTTCCTTATGGGACGATGCGGAGGGGTGCCCTAACCGGGAAAAAACGTCCGTAATGTAAGACTTTTATTAGTAATGTTTATTTACTAACAGTTTGAAACTTAATAGACAAGGTGCAATATAATTTGCCGGGTTACGCTTTTGCGGCTAGAAATTCCGCATGAATACGGATAGGCATGCCTATATTAACGGTCCGACCCACTTCCCGCATGCTCTATGTTAATCCCTTGAAGTCACTACTCATTATATATCACATTGCATGTAATTAGTTGACAGAAATCAATGACGCGTTGTCAATCCGAACTCGTTTTTTTTTATTACTCTTGTAGGCAGACGGCCTCAAACCGAAACGCATTACTGCTTCACGGCAGAAATAGGCAGGGTGGTGGTACCTACCCGCGCGGACTCACAAGAGGTCCTACCACCAGTCATTATGCAAATTAAAAATTTTTCGGGTTTGATTTTTATTACACGACGTTATTCCTTCACCGTGGAAGTCAGTCGTGAACCTTTGTTGTGTACGTATTTCATTAGAAAAATTGGTACCCGCCTGAGATTCGAACACCGGTGCATCGCTCAACACGAATACACCGGACGTCGTATCCGTTAGGCCACGATGACTTCAAATGACGATGACGATGACGTCCTACCACCACCTTAAGTTCCATTAAAAACATAAAATGTATGATACTAATACCAAATAAAACAGACCTTTATCCCTTAAACCAAATAGACGTTCATCCCTCAATATAGGAACACTATTACAAATAATACAATTCTATGTAGACAATAAATTCATCGATATTCAACAGAATTTAACCAATTTGTAGAGCCGTCAAATTAACAAATTAAATGGCTCGTTCCGGATAATCCGAAACGGACACGAATAATCGAATTGGTTTTTATCGATATTAATAATAATCGAATACGAAACGGGTCGAGATTTCGGGTCAATTTAAATCGATCGCTGTCGTGAACATTATTTTTATTTACACTTTTAAAACTGATTTGGTAAAGATGTAGTGGCATTTCATTATTATTATTTAAATAGTGGACGCTTGATTGAAAACGAGTTTTGAAAACACGCGTATTGAGTTTTGAGAAACATTTATTTGATGTTGATTATAAAAATGAAATACCTTTTTTTTATTGCCCTTGTAGGCAGACGACGAGCAAACGGCCCACCTGATGGTTAGTGGTTACCGTCGCCCATGGACTTCAGCAATACATTTAGCTGAAAAGTCCCACGTATCATCGCTAGAAGATGGCGCTCGCAGAAGTAGTCATGACCCTTCTGTTATTCTACCTATATATTTCGTATCGTTTTATAGGTTATTGTATATTGGACATGGGTGAATGACCTCACAGCTTAGTTAGTTGTTGGAGTCCATATGTACCTATGACTACAAAATTTACTCTTTTGTATAATTGCCTTAAAACTATTCTCAAAATACGAACTTACTAAGTAACTGTTTAATCCTAATTAAGTAATCAAATCTTATTACTTGTTTCGGAAACGCACTCTATAAACCTCGCACTCGCATAATTGAGCGCGAAAGTTTAATAGAATACATTTATCTCATAAAACTCGAATGGCTAATAGGTCTCTTGGAACTTTCTATAAATTAACCTTTAAACATGAATGGACGGTGGCCACCTCCTAAAGAGGATCACCGTAATGGGAATATCGATACACTCACAGTAGCGGTACCGATGAATCGATTAGAAGAATCGATAACATCACGAGAGCGAACCCATTGTGTAAGGAGCCGTGGGAACAATGGTCACTAAATAAATAATGCCCTCAATTAATATTTCGAGAATGTGTATAGCTGTTTGGTATTTTTTAGAGAAATTGACTCATTTTACATTGATTACAAATAATCACAATAATCTCAGGCGCGTTGTTAATCGATGTCGCTGTCAATCGAGTAGTTTTACTGGAATCGATAATTAATCACTCGAATACGTCGAATATAAGACATCACTCGTTTCACTTTGATTCGCGGCAATAGGCAGGTGAAATAACTTGTGTTTTTATGCATTTATTTATTAATCTGGGCAACTCCGATAATATGGCGCATTATGTTTCCACCAACATCGCAATGTGCTAATGTGAAGCAAATTGACCCATCAGAAGACCAGCTGCTAGTACTTCTTGTTGGAAGTTATGTATAGGTTAATTGTGAATAATAAAAATACGATCAGTTTACATTCAATCAAGCGTATAGGTAAAGCAAGTTTTATTGAAAAGGATTACGTTTTGAGAAACGTCCTTGCGCCCGAGAGAGTCGTCAATAACTAATGACCTTACGGTAACAATATTTATTTTACAATGAGGCCTGTGCTTCTTTTCCCACGCATGGAATTTGTTTTTATAAGCATGACCGTAATGTTCGAGAAATTCCAATTAAAAATCCTGAGTTATGACTGCAATCCCCTTCAAAGCCATTAGAGCCAAATGTTGAAGTGACAAAAACTTAAACCAAGCTAATCTTACAAACTACGATTCAGTTTTGTACAGAGAATTCAAAACTTCTGAATGTACATTAAGCATTTATATATCAAAATTAAATATATATATCGAATGTATACTTGAAAAACACGAATGATACAGGCGCCTTTAGACATTTTACTCATTAAATTACGCCTATTATATTACTTACTTACTTACTACTTATACTATTACTGGTGGACCTCCTGTGAGTTCGCACAGGTATGTACCACCTACCCGCCTATTTCTGCCGTGAAGCAGTGATGCGTTTCGGTTTGAAGGGTGGGGCAGCCGTTGTACTATACTGAGACCTTAAAACTTATATCTCAAGGTGGGTGGCGCATTTACGTTGTAGATGTCTATGGACTCCAGTAACCACTTAACAACAGGTGGGCTGTGAGCTCATCCAACCCTGTAAGCAATAAAAATAAAGCCCAGTAAACATGGTATCGTAAATCATTGAAAATCTTCCGTACTGTCTTTTTAAGCTTAAACATAAAAGACAATTACGTTCTATTTGTATAAGAGCAATCCAAACAACGGCCCGTTTCACAATTGCCAAGTAAAACCAAACGACGTACCCTCTCGAATTAAATAGTCCGCTTAAATATGAACAACGCTATTTATGAACATGTTAATAATGTTACATTTGATAGCAAATATATGTACGTATTCAATTTTCTCTTTTTTTATTTATTTCAAATTCATAGTGGTCAATAGTTCAGCTATTTCCGTCAGTTCAAGCATTGAGTTAAGAATAATTGAAGAGCCAATTTTTTTTCTATCTACAACGTAAATGCGCCACCCAGCTTGATATACAAGTTCTAAGGTCTCAGTATAGTTACAACGGCTGCCCCACCCTTCAAACCGAAACGCATTACTGCTTCACGATAGAAATTGGCAGGATGGTGGTACCTACCCGTGCGGACTCACAAGGGGTCCTACCACCAGTAAAATGCATTAAAACACATTACATGTCTATGTCATTACTAATTCGCAGTCAAATGTGAATTCGTGACAAGTATGTGTTTTATCAACTTACACCACATATAAACAAAATAGATATGGGTGATTATACAAAAATTGGGTAACTCTATGTCATCAGCCAATATATACAAAGTCTTATTATATTTTATTGAAATACCAATTTATTTTAAAACAACGAAACGTCCTTTATTTGGTCACCCAATTTCACTTCTTTATTTTAAATACAAGTTAGTAAAAAAACCAAATTAATACTTAAAACGTCAGTCCTTTGGCATGTCACAATCCCGAAAACTAACAATCAAGTGACTATCCATTAAACATTATCATTGATTTAAGAAAACTTACTAATTTACTACAATCTGTGATGTATATAGTATTATATACTACAACTTTCATAATGCAATGTTCTCCATTTTATTTAAAAAAAAATAAGAAACTTTGTGTTCGTTTCATTGGTCAGTCCGTTGTGTGTTCTTTAAAATTTGAAAATCTCGCCAAATATCATCGAGTCAAGGTCAAATCCCTGTTTAAGCTTTAATGTTGATAATGAAGTTAGTGTCGGACCGCACAATTTGACGGTCGCCATAACTATATCACTGCTTGGGTTGTGTTTGTCGTCTACACACGTGCGAAGCCAGTCAAAATTTCAGTCCTGTGGTGAGTCGTTATTTTCTTGTTAATGTGAGGTTTATTTTCATTTATACATAGTTAACTATGATTTGTTAAAATGTAGTTTGTTGATATACGAAATTACCAAAAAAAACATTAGTTCTGATTATAACCTCCAATTATGCCTTTTTCGTCAGTCCGTTGGCGTCAGTCCTTTGTTAGGTATCGCGTTAGAGGACTGACGTGTCTCCATAGTACTGTTTTTTATATTGTTTTAGAGCGCATTTATCTTAATTGCTACCATGTATAAGCATTTCTATTTTATATTTCAGTGTAAAACATCATGCGACACTCTAAAAAACTAGGGAAGAAATATTTAAAAAAAAGAGAGAAGCCGGAGAGGCTCGCTTGGACAGAATTAAAAGTGATCCTATTAAATTAACGGAATACAAAAAAAAAACAAAATTTCAGTACTTAAGGGAAAAAAAGAAAGGACAAAGAAAAAATGTTAAAGACATGACACCAACCAACGAATAACTAGAAAAAAAATGGAAAAAATATTCATACAGGCAAAGAAAACAGCTATTGAAACCAACCACTAATAATTTTATATGCCAGAATACTCCTCCACTAACTGACGACGAAATACGACCCATAGTTAATCAAGCAATCAGACCTGTTATTAACGAAGAACAAAGATCAAAAGAAGCCAAAAGGAGAAGTGAAAGACACAGAAAATCTTGAAACAGGGAAATAAAAAAGATGGAGGCTATAGTTTCAAAGCTTAAAGCTAAACTAAATACTCAGCGTCAAAAATGTACGAGTCAAAAAACAGCTAAATTACTATTACTAAAAAAGTAATAAAATCTGTTAAAAAAACGCCAAAGACCGGAATTGAAGACATGAGAGACCAATATCTCATAAATAAAACAAAATATCATTATACAGCGGTCTGCTCTTCGGTTGATGATGAAGACGGTGAAGTAAGAGTAACTTCTCAAAATTTGTAATCACAATGGCACTCTGTTCAAAATGGATGAAAAAGATGTATCAGATGTTCCCGTGGATCAAATAATAATAAAATAATAAAAAATACCCGTACCAAACCTCATTACAAAAGGGATGAGGGTTTTTTACCAATTTAAGGATAAAATGATGTTTTTGAAAATATACATGTTTCCATTGTTTGTTGATTACTTGAAATTTTAAGTAAAACTAAGTAAAAGTAGTAAAAGCTAAGTGAATAACTTTACGTTAAATTTCAAAAGGCTGTATTGAAAATTGAGATAGTATTTTCTCCCAGTATTACATATAATATTAATAATTATTTTTAATTGTTACTAAGTGATTATAATACTTAAAAGACATGTCCCATTATTATTAAAAGTAAGAGATTTGTACTATTTTTTATTAAATTTCATTATAATTCTTACAAAATTGTGTATTTTATCAGTACTATGTTAGCCTCGTCAGTCCCCTGGCAGTCAAATTCAGAAAATTTTAAATATCTCACAATCTATTAAAAAAAGTGACTGGCCCGATTTGGAAGAAGATAATCATTAGATTAGCCATCATATACACCCAAATTTGTAACAATTTGATTTAATAACTATAGTAAACAAAATATCCTCAATAGTTACCCAACTTTTGTATAATCACCCATATTACAGAAATATGTATTAAATAATAAGAAAACGATATTATTTTCGGTTTTCGCGAGTTGAGATAATTAAAAATAGTTTTACGATTTAATCTCGGATTATTTAAAATGATTTCTAAGCCTAATGGTTAACGAATGCTCTAATGGTTAACGGAACCCATAGGCATCAACAAAGTAAATGGCGCCAATCGCCTTAAGCCGTGAATTCTAAATCTCAAATCTCTAGATTGCCCCAGCCTACAAAACGAAACGCATTACTGCTTCACGACAGGAATGGCAGGGTAGTACTTACCCGTCCCCCCGTGCAGGCTCACAAGACTACTTAAACCAGTTTATTCATTTAGTTCAGGTAACTGTCATTATTTACTTCAACAACATTATGTAAGTAAATTTATAAAGTTTTCGAAACTTCTCGAAAATTAAAAACTCTTCGAAATTAAAAACTTATTTATATAAAAAACCCGAGATTAAACCGTAAAAGTTGTTTTACTTAAAATATTAAAAACTTATTTAAAGAAATGAAAGTACAAAATTAAACAGATGTTAGAAAAAAAGAATAATATAAACTAATTGTTAACATTTGAAAAACAAAAAAAAAAAAATAACATAAGGTCATAATATAATGACGGCACGTAATTTTTGTTTCTCTTTTTTGTATGAAATAAAACTTTGAATATTAATCCTTGACAAATCTTATAATCAAAATAATGGAGAATTGATATTAAAAGAATAGAATTGCAAAAAGTCCGGTTTCCAAAGCCCGAAAAATCATTAAAAAGCGTCCATTATTCTCCTCGTTCACGAACACGACCGACAACGAATGTGTTATCGCATGAAAAATTTAAATTGTAAATAATACAGTTGGCGCCCGCACTGGGTCGGAGCGCAGCGCACCTAACGAAAGTGAAAACGACCTCAAATCGTATATAAACATCAGTAGCTCGGGTTTCAGGTGACAAAAAACAAACATTGAACGCGCGTCCCGCTGCAATAAGAACGTTCTATAGAAAGCAGGCAAAACGAAACATATTTTTTCGTCTTTTTTTCTTTAAAATGGTTTTGTTCTTTCGTTCGTAATTTCTATTATGGCTGAGAGCGCAAAATTGGCAGATAATGGACGCCGCGGAAAAGAGAATTCGATGAACGGAATGAATGGTTCTTTGTGGGGCGCTTGGGCGTGGATTAAATGGTTTCCGAATCGATTGAACTTATTTTTTTCTTTTAAGTGATTAGTTCCGATGTTTGTTTTCATAGTAACATAGAACTCTAAGAACGTACAACTAAAGAGCTACACGATTAACCGAGAGATTCGAAACGAGCTAGTCGGTTCGAATTTTTAGAGATCTCAATTCTAAGTCTAGAAGTCGTCGTGGCCTAACGGATAAGACGTCCGGTGCATTCGTGTTGAGCGATGAACCTGTGTTCGAATCCCGCAGGCGGGTACCAATTTTTCTAATGAAATACGTACTCAACAAATGTTCACGATTGATTTCCACGGTGAAGGAATAACATCGTGTAATAAAAATGAAACCCGCAAAATTATAATTTGCGTAATTACTGGTGGTAGGACCTCTTGTGAGTCCGCACGGGTAGGTACCACCACCCTGCCTATTTCTGCCGTGAAGCAGTAATGCGTTTCGGTTTGAAGGGTGGGGCAGCCGTTGTAACTATAATTGAGACCTTAGAACTTATATCTCAAGGTGGGTGGCGCATTTACGTTGTAGATGTCTATGGGCTCCAGTAACCACTTAACACCAGGTGGGCTGTGAGCTCGTCCACTCATCTAAGCAATAAAAAAAAAAAAAAAAAAAAAAAACACAGTCGTTTTATTTATCATAGAGGGTACAAATTGAAATGGGTTTAAAATGGGAACGAGTAATAAAATAATGCTTGGCCCAAACCTATTTGAAATGATTAAGGCCATCAATACCTATGACAATAACAACATTTTACCATAGTTTACGTTACGGAAACATTACGTTACAGCAAAATTAATAAACTGTGACATTTTTATCCTTTTGGCATTTGAAAATCTACATTTTGGTGTAAATGTTTATAATAATAATATGAAAATCATAGAAGAAAAAATGGATGAACTAGAAACAACACAAGAAGAAACGGAAAAGTTCCTTACTATGGCACGTTGAAATGTAGCCCAAGTAGGATTGACATCAGGCAGTCGGCCGGTCATAAAACTCATGCCAAATCTCTATTCAGCATAATAAGAAGATATTCTGTGCCGAGCAAAACACAATGTGGGATAAGGGCAAGAAAAAGGCTTACTCAATTTTTATTTATTAAGCTTACGTACTCCTATGAAAATCTTTTGGCCTGATACGATCTAGTGAAGAGATCTAAAGAGCTGTGGAGGATCACCAAGCTGACACCAAGGAGAAGGAGATCCTTACGCGGAAGTGGCATTGGATTGGTCACATATGAAGTTTGGCAGATACCGACCTATCCAAGAGAGCACTGACCTGGAAAGTGTCTGGCAAAAGGAAGAGAGGCCGTCCCAGAACAACTTGGCGTCGCTCGGTGGAGCAGGAGCTGGTCGTTTTGGTAATGACATGATAGGAGTTAAAAGAGATTGCCCAAGACCGATGTAAATGGAAGGATTATATTCAAGCCCTACACCCCAGCAGAGGGTAATAGGAAAGAAAGAAGAAGAAGAAATTTACCTACTTTGAATCCACAGCTACTCTGTTATAGGCAAGTTTCAGCTAGGTTATTAATTATAAATTAGTGAAACCCGAACACGATTTGATGTGACTATAAAATAGTTAATGACAAGAACCCATTTGTCTATACTAATATTATAAAGAGGAAAGATTTGTTTGTTTGTTTGTTTCGAATAGGCTCCGAAACTACTGGACCGATTTGAAAAATTCTTTTTCCATTAGAAGCCGACATTGTCCCTGATGAACATAGGCTACTTTTTTTATTTTTTTTTTAATTTTATTTTTTTGGTTTCATGTGTGTTTTAATGTTTCCGAAGCGAAGCGAGGGCGGGTCGCTAGTTAATAGTATTCGTGTACAGCCTAACGTTAATGCTAGTACGGCAGAAACTGAACTGCCAACTCTAACTGTATCCAGCAAACGCGTATTTGTGACAGCGGGATATATAGCTTTTTAGCACGCTTCCATTATTCTACTCCAACTAATATTATAAACGCGAAAGTTGGTAAGAATGTATGGATGTATATTTGTTACTCTTTCACGCAAAAACTACTGGATGAATTTTAATGAAACTTCACAATAATATAGCTTACACATCAGAATAACACAAAGGGTATTTGTTACTTATAAAGATATGTGTTACCTAAAAATATCAAGCTATTCTGGCGTGCTAAAACCGTTGGTGTTACACGTACATACCTAATAATGTAAAATAGAAATGTTTATCTTAAATAGACCTACAAAAAAACCGTGACAATATTACTATACATACTACATCGATCTTTTATTTGTAAGTCATTATAGCCAAAATAGTGAACTATGTATATAAGCAGAGAAACGATTTAATTTTTTGTTGCTTACTGTCAAGACCAGTTTTATACAAAAGAAAGCTCACTAATATCATTAATAAATTACAGCTCCCGAAGCGAACCCAGGGCGGGTCGCTAGTAAACAATGTAGCAATATGTATAGGTACATAATATGTAACGAATCTTTCAACGTACATTTCACCGACTTCATAAAACTCGTTTAACTTGAAAATTTGGACATGTTTCAAGAATTGACTACAATATACTAATTTAAGTATTCCAATAGTCCAAATATCGATGATGATATATTTTTTTTGTTGCT